AATATGCAATTTAATGTCCTTCACTTAGGCAAGAAATCACCAACTTCTGTTTGTCTGTTTTTGTTTTTATTTACTTTGGGAAATGTCACACCTATGCAAAAGTAGAGAGACCAGTTTAATGATTCCTCCGTCACCCAGCCTCCACAATTAGCAACATGAACAGTTTTGTTTCCATCTGCCCTTCTCCTCTACTGTGCCATATCTGAACAGAAGCAGACATCATATCATTTCACCTTTAAATACTTTGGAATGTTGGGGGGCCTGGGTGGCTCAGTTGGTTGAGTGTCCAACTTCGGCTCAGGTCATGATCTTGCAGTCCCTGAGTTTGAGCCCCACATTGGGCTCTGTGCTGACAGCTCAGAGCCTGGAGCCTGCTTTAGTCTCTGTGTCTCCCTCTCTCTCTGCCCCTCCTCCGCTTGTGCTCTGTCTCTCTTTGTGTCAAAAATTGATAAACTTTAAAAAATATATACTTTGGAATGTATCTCTAAAAGATAAAGACTCTTAAAAAAACCCAGCTAGCTACTGTTAACAAGATATTTATATTTTCATTGTAAAATTGAATTTGCTCAGTACTGTCACCAAATTTGGGGAAAGTAATCATAATTGTACACACCACTTAATGTGCACCTATTATGGGCTCTACTCCAGGCAGTATTATTATAGGTGCATTCTGTCCCTGATCTTGTCATCATTACTGATTTTCTAGAGGAGGAAACTGGGGCTGGGAGAAGTTGAGAGATGCCTCTTCTGGCAGGTTGAGCCTCGCAGGCCTGCAGAAGACCAGGATTTATGAGAAAACAACTCTTACACCACCACTGCCTGTACTGTTTCTCTGCTGCAAATCACATTTGGGAAGAGGAACATCCAGGTCTCTGCTTGTTGGTCCCAGAAGAGTGTTATAAAAACAAGTAACTCATGGAGAAAACAAATTTCCTCTGGCCCTTCTGCCCATGGCTGCTCTGAGCTTTAGTCACATAAGACAGTGTTCCATGGTGTAACTGCCTGGTTGCTGCAAATGACGTCAGCCATATTTTTCTTTACTATCAGCATGTCAAAAGCTACCCTGGTTAATGACACGTCTCTCAAACTTCTCCTTCAGTCTCCAAGTCCATTGCAAAATTTCCAGCCGTAACCGTTAGTAAGTATAGCCAGGCTCAAATGTGGATTAAAATACATAATTAAAAGTTATTTTCGTAGGGAAGTGTTGTGATGTTAACAAATTGCTTTCTGAAAACTGATTTTTTTTTTAATGGGATAGTGTAGAAAGAGAATAATAAAACAAATAGAGCCAGTGTTAACAACTGGTGAATATAGGTGATGGGTAGGTACATGGTAAGAAGAGTTCATCCCCATAGTAAGTGTGTGTGTGCGTCTGTGTGTGTGCATGTGTCAGCGTATATGGGAAGGGGGCGTTGGGGTGTGTATGGAGAGTGAAGAGAGAGCAACAGTGTACTGATATCATAGTCAAAAAAGCTAAAGCGTAGGGAACTGTTATTCCCTTTCCTTTCTCTTCTTTCTAAGCAGGAAACGGAGTGAAGGGCAAGAGTTGGACTCACAAGTCCTGCATGTAAAGAGTGGCCAGAAAGGAAAGCAACTGGGCTAAAAACCAATTCTGAGTCCCAGTCCAAGAATGAGTTTTTCTCAAGTCAGAACGGTGGTTCCCAGACTTTCAGATTTCATGGACCAGTAAAATTTCAAAACTACTTTGGATTCTGATGTAGAATTGCTAACTTTTTACTTTGCCAAGTAAGGATATTAAAAAAAATAAAATAAAATAATCTATCAGTTACTATTACCATAAAAGGCACCTTTGTAAAAGAAAGTACATTTTAACTCCAAAAAACTAAATACATTTCACTTTAGTAGAAGTCACTACATTGTCCTTATTTTTGCATTTAACATATTTTTAAATAAGACTTTCTGCTGCAAATACACACAACTAAACAAGTGATTTAAGCACTAAAGGCAGGATAGTTCCAGAGTGAAGCCTACTGTTCTACAAGGTCCTGAAGGACCCAAGGGCTCCACTCCCACCTTCCCCCTCTCCCTGTCTCTAGGTGTCCATGGCTCCCTGCATCTGTGGGACAGTGACAAGTAAGGCACACATAGAAGAGCCAGCAGCTAGCGAAGATGAGAGGCTACTTCTGCTGGAGTGTCAGTTTCAGGGAGGAAGAGTGTTCACAGACCCCCAGCAAATTTGCCGTTAGGACGCAGTGACCAGAACTGAGCCACACTCCATACCTAGTACCTGTAAGACCGAAACGGCCTGCAGTATTTTTGCCTCTCTACTGGAAGCTGCCTCTGCCACGAGAGGCAGGGATCAGCTATTTGTAGGTCTAAGGGACTATATCAGGTCTCTGAAAGCCTCACCTGGGGCTACCATGAGTTTGAAGCCCAATATTTGGGAGCTAATCACTTAAAGCTTTCCTTGATGAGGCCTAATGAGCATATATCTACAGTCTAAGAAATGCTTTATTTAGTCTCATCCAAGTTTAGAGCAAAAATTTGTGTAAATAACCATCAAAGTCCTCTTGCATTGCAAGGGAGCCTAAAGAAGCCTGGCCAAATGATATCATAGCTCTGTTGGGAAAAGCGTGAATAATCTCCCATCATTTTACCCCCAATTGCATATGGACAATTACTCATCTTTATTAACAGCCTTCTTGAATTATTCATGAAAGCAAAGGTATTCAAACCCACAGAACCCGCGTTGCCATATAAAGGAAATTGTAACAGCTCCTGGTGAGAGGGGTTAGTGTGATTAAAACGAACTTTTTACTCTGTTGACAAGCCATGAAAAATGTGATAACCCACAAATAATTTTAAAACAATGTTTTAGCCTGAAGTTGCAGTCTCTTTCATGACATGTACCACCTCTGAAATTGTATAGAAGATAAATTACAATTTTAAGCAAAAACTGAAGAAACAGATTTCCAGGATAAGATGACAGAGTGAAGCAATAAGGTGGAAGCTCTCTTCCTCCCACCTAACAAAATGAAACAAACAAATAATGACAATAATAATAATAAGCCAGCAGCAAACAAATTAGAGAGGCAGAATAATTTTCTGCTGCCAGTATTGAAAAATGGTCCCTGAGGAAAAGTCGGGTGCAGCCCACAGTTAGATACAGCTTCTAATGTCTCCCCCACCCATCATAAATGGTAGGTAGAAAAGAAGGTGAGTCAACAAAATCCAACAAAATCCTGAAATTCGCATTAGTACTCTCCATCATGGAAAAGAAGCAGGGTCAGGGGCTACATAAGGTGGCTCAGGCAAAAACAGGGAAATTCAAGAGCAGAAGTCCCTGCCTACCACAACTGCAGGGATAGGAAGGCCACAGTCTCTGAAAAACAGTATGCATGCTCCTCAGCAAGTAAATGTAGGGTTAACCATATGTTCCAGGAATTCTATGTTTGGGTGTATGTTCAAAATAATTGGAAAGAAAAACTCCAAGAGATTTCTTTTACTTTTGTTCATAGAAGCATTATTCACAGTAGTCAAAATGTGGGAGCAACCTAAGTGCTGTGGACAGACAAATAAACAGAATGTGGGAGCGCCCGGGTGGCTAGTTGGTTAAGGGTCCAACTTCAGCTCAGGTCATGATCTCATGGTTTGTAGAGTCAGGCTATCTGCTGTCAGCATAGAGCCTGCTTCAGATCCTCTGCCCCCTTCTGTCTCTGCTCCTCCCATGCTTGCACAATCTCTCTAAATAAACATTAAAAAAATGTGGTTATCATACAGTAGAATATTATTCAGCCTTAAAAAGGAAGAGAATTCTGGGGATGCCTGGGGGGCTCAGTCGGTTAAGTGTCCAACTCTTGATTTCAGCTTGGGTCATGATTTCACAGTTCATGAGATTGAGCCCCACACTGTCAGCGTTTGGGATTCCCTCTCACTCTCTCTCTCTCTCTCTCTCTCTCTCTCTCTCTCTCTCTTTCTCTCTCTCTCCCTCTCTCTCTGCCCCTCCCCTGCTCATGTGCACACATGCTCGCTCTCTCTCTCTCTCTCTCTCTCTCAAAATAAATAAACTTAGAAAGCAAAAAGGAAGGGAATTCTGACATATGCTACCACATGGATGAAACTTGAGGACATTATGCTAAGTGAAATTAAGCCAGTCACAAGAAAGCAAATACTGTGTGATTCCACTTACATGAGGTACCTAGAGTAGTCAAGTTCATAGAGACAGAAAGTAGGAGGATGGTTGCTAGGAGCTAGAGAGAAGAGTAGTAAAAAATTAGTTTTAATGGGCACAGAGTTTCTATTGGAGAGAACGAAATGTTCTGGAGATGAATGATGGTGATGCTTGTAAGACATTGGATATGCTTATGCTACTGAACTGTGTACATAAAAATGGTTAAGCTGTAAATTTTATGTATCTTGGACCGCAATTTCAAAAAGAAAGAAATTCCAGGGGCCTCTGGGTGGCTCAGTTAGTTAAGTGTCCAACTTTGGCTCAGTTCATGATCTCATGGCTTGTGAGTTCGAGCTCCACATCAGGCTCTGTGCTGATGGCTAAGAGCCTGGAGCCTGCTTCAGAATCTGTGTCTCCCTCTCTTTCTGCCCCTCCTCTGCCCATACTCTCTCTCTCTCTCTCTCTCTCTCTCTCTCTCTCTCTCTCTTTCAAAAATAAATATATATTAAAAAAAGAAGGAAGAAATTCCAGAAGGTCTTGCCATCTTCTAAAGCACTGTGCAGATTTTGGCAAAAGATCCTAAGCCCTCAAGACAGGGATACACTAGCTAGATAAGTGGATCATGATACAGGGCTGTGATGGAATGTATTGTGGTTCCCAGCTGCTCCCCTGCTTCCCCCATCCTTGCCCTTTGCCATGTGACTTGAAATGGTCCCTGCTATGGAATAGAGTCTGCTTCCCTGCCCCACTGACTTTGGGCTTGGCCATATGACTCACTGTGTTTAGCAAATGGAATGTGAACAAATGTGATATACTTTATATCCTGGTCAGTGGTGGTTGGTTTTTTTCTCATTTCCTTCTGCCATGAGATTGTCTTGTCCAACATGGGTACTGCTTGGATGATTTCCATCTTGGATATTCATTTGAGTTCCCTGGAAGGACACATCCACAGTAAGTACAAAGAAATGTTGACGTGTTAGCACATATTGTGTGTAGCAATAGAGTGATCCTCTTGCACTACATTTTCTTGTCTCCATAACCCTCTCCCTCACTTCCTCCATTAGGGGAAACACTTCCTGAAAATGCTCTTAGAATGTTCTTTTCCACCACATGCTTGGCTTCACAATCTTGTGAGCCAGGTTCTAGCTGAGGATGACTATTCTGAGATTGTGTTGTGCAATCTGTCCTCCTCCAAATTTATCTAGAGAAATGAAAAGAGCCCATCCTTATGAGCTCATGGGACAATCCTGGAGCTCTTGCCAGAGCATCAAAAGGAAAAGCCATTGCTTCAAACAGACAGGGGTATCCAAACCTGGCGGGGTAGGGACGTTACTCACCATAGCCCAATCCCTCACCTTTCTTCCTTAGCTCAAATAAATACACTCTCCATTGTTCTTGGTTTTCTTTTCTATTTCAAAATTAAAAATTTTTTTCTTCTACTTGAGATGTGTAAGTTGTTAAATCTGGGGCAGATCCTTTCTTTCCCGATGTAACTCTACAGGAATTCTCGCCTCTTCCCTCAGTGTCTGCCCAAAATAGGTACAGTTATGAGAGCTGCCGCTGCCCACAAAGTTCAGGCTGCTGTCCCTTGGGCTGCGGAGCAGACAGAGGGAAGGAGAGAGGGTTTTTTGCTAAGAAGGCCTGTGGCAGAAGCCTGGATACATAAACTTGCCAGACAGAAAATAGCCCAAGATGATGATCTCAACTTATTCCTGATTGCTAATTTCTGGTTGCTGTACTGAACACAGAGTTAGAAACAGTGTGTGCTCGGAGGGTTTGCAGTCTAAACTGCCAGTGGTATGCCCTGTGCATGAGGCTGGTCAATAAATATTATTTGATGAGCCGGCAGTCTGTTAGTAGGGAGGGACTGGCTCTCCAAATAGCTCAAGCACTCAGTCCAAGAGGAGAGAAATGAGATTCTGCCAGAAGTTGAAAAGTAGTAACAAAATGATGAATAATCATGCCTATTTATGAGCAGGGAGTTTTTTTATACCACAGGCCCAGGTACTTTTGCACACAGCTCCCAACCCTGCCCAGTGGCCACAGGAAGTATGAGGGACAGAATCATCCCCATTTTTGAGGAGGAGAAATTGAGTTATGAAGACATGAGTCAGCTTTTCCGTGGTCATATGGTACAAATAGTCCCAGAGTTAGGTTTCCTGCCTTCCAGCCAAGGAAGGCATTTTTCAGATCTCTGGCCTCCTTCACAGGACTCTTCTGATACAAGTGTCACCTGCCAAACATCCAAAAAAGACCCAACATGGCTTTGGCTTTGATTCCAAGCTGGCAAACACTTGGTAATGTGAAATGGAGACCTTCCCCAAAAGGGGCAGGGGGAGAGCAGAGCAGGAGTAGGTGTGGCCCAGATCAGCGTCATGTGCTGGAGGGAAGCATACAGACACCAGACACCTCTGCTGTCCCTGATGTGTGGCCCTCCACAGGTGACAAACAAGAAAGACTTGCCCCACCCCCCGTGATCAGATCGCCAACTGAGACACTGGATAACACAGTTGGCAAATAACAGACTCCACATGTGGCTGGCTCAGCTCAGCCCCATCTTTGAAAATGAGCATATGGTTCAAAAAACCCTGTTAAGTGCCCACAGGCATTGCTGCCTAACTTCAGCTGGTCTGGGACAATTTGAAATGCCTCCATCCAACTTAAAACAAGAAAACCAACCAGCTTCCCCACAGGCATAGTTACCAGGTTGATTATCAGTAAAGGGAAAAAAATCAATACACTGAATAATCCTGAAAAAAAAAAAAATGAAATGGGAGCCAACTAGTTTAACTAAAGAAGCAAGATATTTATTTAAAAAAAAAAAATTTAGGGATGTCTGGGTGGCTTAGTCAGTTGAATGTCCCACTTCAGCTCAGGTCATGATCTCAAGGTTTGTGAGTTCAAGCCCCACATCAGGATCTCTGCTGTCAGCCCAGAGACCACTTCAGATCCTCTGTCCCCCTCTTTCTCTGCACCTCCCCCACTCACCTGCATGCATGTGCACACACTCTCAAAAATAAAAATAAAGCATTAAAAGAATTAAAAACCAAATTTAAAAGCCAATTCACCAAAGAAGATAAAACACAAAGCCAGGAATTGCCATTCGGTAGAGATTTGGCATATTTAGTGTGGTGGACCAGCTGTTGGAAATGACAGGATTGTTGTTGATGGGTCCAGACCTCCGGGGAGATGGATTTTGGATGGTGTTGCCATGGCCTGATAACACTTGTTTACATCTGTTCCTTGTAATACTAAAACAGCATTGTACTCCATGCCCTATGCCTCAGAAACCTAGCTGCTGTCCTCTTGGAAGTACAGACAACCATGTCTTTAAAAGAATCTCCCAAGTACAGGTCAGCCAGAGGGCATAGGTGACACTGGCAGAAAAAGCACTAGATGAGGGGTCAGAAGAGGTGTTTTCTACCTCTGCCTCTATCACCTCTTTGGCTACAGTTTCCTTTAGATAAACTGGAGCTCATACTTACCTAGCACACATGTTGATGTGAGGCTCAAATGACATCCTCAGTGTAAATGCAAGGTCTTGAGGTTGTTGGTGTCCCAAGGCATTGGCTTGTGGTAGATCTCAAGGTGGTCCTGTCCCGCCATCTCAGTCACATGTGGGCTTGGCCTGCCACTGCCCCTCGGTCCTTGGAGTATAAATGTGCTGCTATTTGGATATTCCTGTGGTTGGATCATCATTCCTGTTGGTTGATCGTCAACTAGTAACTGTAATGATACTCCAGTGTATGCCCTGTTCCTGGAGCATGTTTGCTAGAATCCAGTGTTGGCTCCAGTTCAAGCAAAGGTACTGAAGACTCTGGAAATGCCTAGACTATCTTCTAAGCTTGCCCCAAGAATCAATCCTACAGAAGATCATCTGACAAATCCTGTGACTCGGCACTATTCTCTCTATATTAAGGGAGAGGACTGAGGAGCCAGGACTAAAAACTGAAATCCAACATTTAATGAGACAAAAATCTTGAGATGATCACAGTGAATGTATGAAAACAAAAGACACACAGAAATCATGAGTTGAAGTTAGATTGTGAAGGACTAGAGTTGATGCCTTTCAGCATATCTGCTTAGCCCCTCTTCATCCTTCAGGTGAGAACCTCACAGCCATATCTGGGTCATATGGCCCTGCTTCCTTGGCTGTAGCCAATAAAGTGGCACCTTGGTGTGGATGGACTGATGGAACTCCCCGGAATGTGGAGCCAAGACTCAAGGATGTAGCCAGTCTCTGGGCGTGGCTGGACCAGTGGGACATATAAACTTGTGCTCTGTGGAGTGGACATCTTATGCCACGTGCATTGAGGCACAGAGAAAGCTGACCTAAATAGAGAGGAGAAAAAGCAGACACACAGAGACAGCCAGAGATGTGAGCCCATCAAACCCCAAGGAGGGAGTGGCTGCCTTAGTCTCTGACAGTGTCTCAGGGTTTGATTCTAGTCCGTTGTGAAAGGCACTTCCTTCCCTGCCATTCCGTGGGACGCTTCTGAATGCTTATACCACATCTTCCTTTTTTCACTTACACTAGGTTGAGTTCACTTTTTTTTTTAGTTTATTTCTATTATTTGCATTCTAATAACCTTAAGGAACTTGAGAAACTTTGGTCAAATGAAGTCATTTAGACGTTATTCCACAATCTGTGAGAACAGTGCACAGCCAGTAAACCGGTAGCTCCTCAAACCATCACTTAAAGAAAATATTGAAATGTATCTGACACAACACCTTGCACGTAACAGCCACCCAATAAATGGTTCTTGAATTACATGAATTAAGTCATGTGTATGGCACTAACTGTAGTTCAGTAAGGGAGAGGAAAACAGTGAGATAGGTCTTACTAACCTTCAAGACAATTAGATGGGGCCGACTGGGTGGCTTAGTCGGTTAAGCCCAACTTAGGCTCAGGTCATGATCTCACGGTTTGTGAGTTTGAGCCCCTTGGTGGGTCTCTGCTATCAGTACGGAGCCTGCTTAAGATTCTCTGTACCCCCCACCCCAGCCATGCATGCACCATCTCTCTCTCTCTCTCTCTCTCTCTCTCTCTCTCTCTCTCTCGCTCTCTCTCAAAAATTAAAAAAAAAATAAAAAATAAATAAGGCAGTTAGATGATCTGGTATTTAGATGTTCATCTCTTTTAGGTAGTCTGTTTTCAGAATTTGTCTCTATATTCTCACATCTAGTAGTATTTAGATGGTACAAGAAAGGCAATATTTATGGAAACGTACAGTAATTACAGGCAATGGATATATACTTAAAAATATTTATAAGTAAAGATTTTGCCCAAATACATATAAATATTGGACAAATACTGGTGGAAGAGGAGACTTAGACATGTCCCTTCCAGTGATGCAGTACTTCTCAACCCTGTCATTATGCTCTGCAGGTATCCCCCCACTTTTCAAAAGTTTGCCTTACACCACTTCCATTTTATGAAAGACCTGCATTAGTACCTGTTTTCACTAATTGAAAGAAATCCAAAGAGGAATTTTTTGCTTTTACCAAAAAAAAGGTGAGGGGCGCCTGGGTGGCTCAGTTGGTCAAGTGGCCAACTTTGGCTCAGGTCATGATCTCATAGTTTGGGAGTTTGAGCCTTGTATCGGGGTCTGTGCTGACAGCTCATAGCCTGGAGCCTGCTTTGGATTCTATGTTTCCCTAGGTCTCTGCCCTTCCCTCACTCACACTCTGTCTCTCTCTCTCAAAAATAAATAAACATTAAAAAAATTTTTTTAAAGGTGAAAAGCAAAAATCACATTCAGCATTTTTTAACATTTATTTATTTTTGAGAGACAAAGAGTAACAAAGCGCAAGTGGGAGAAGGGGGGGGAGAGAGAGAGAGAGACAGAGAGAGAGACAGAGAGAGAGACAGAGAGACAGAGAGACAGAGAGACGGAATCTGAAGCAGGCTCCAGGTTGAGTTGTCAGCACACAGACCCACCTGGGGCTCAAACCCACAGACCATGAGATCATGACCTGAGCCAAAGTCAGAGGCTTAACCAACTGAGCCACCCGGATGCCCAATATTTAGCATTTGTTTTGCAGCAAGCCTTTATGGAGACACCCAAGCAACGAGAGTGGTACTGCCACAATTCTTCCGGGGAACTACCCTCGGCGTCTCAGCCTCAAGCTGCACAGCTTTGAATCTGAGTCTGTGAGTATCTGTGCTTTATCTCTATTTTGTGTATTCATTAGCAAAATGTGTCCTAAGGTATCAGAAAAACCTAAGAGGGATTGCTCTTTGGGTCTGGGAATGCTCAAAAAATATTCCCTGTAAATTAATGGGAATTACTCCATCACTTTACATCATTTTGGTCTATGAAAGGTTTCATAAGAGCACCCTACTGCCAGATAGTGGGGGTGGGAGTGGGGGGAGGGGGGGACTTGTACTGAAGACTATGCTAGGATGAGAGAGGAATGGGCACAGACAAACCAGAGAATGAACACATAAATCACCACACGAGAGGATTTACTATTAAAGAATGAGGTCTTTGACCAGAGAATATTTGGCATGGAGATGAATTCTTAGTCTTTATACCTATCTTTAAAAATTTTAAAGATTTTCAGGTTGGAGAGAAAATAGACTTGTCATGGGCTATTCCAGAGAAGGAAACTGCAGGGGTACCTTTTTCATCCAAAACAAGCAATATTGTCCCAATATTATGTAGCTGGTATGTTTTTTCTTCCTCTTCTGTTAACAGCTACTGAGCCTTGCCTCACAGTGGGCCAGTCATGGAATCCGTGCCTTGGCTTTTCCCATTGTTTGGTATGTGACCCAGGAATTTTCCTTTCCATTTGTATCTTAGTATGTTCAGTCTTTGATAACAACATGCCACAGACTGCGTGGTTTATAAACAACAGAAATTTATTTCTCACGGTTTTGGAGGCTAGAAGTTCAAGATCAAGATGTCAGCATATTCACTTTCTGGTGAGGCTTTCTTCCGATTCATAGCTGGGGTCCTCTCCTCGTACCCTCATGTGGTAGAAGGGGCAAGGGCATTTTATGGGGTCCCTTTTATAACAACACTCATCCCATTCATGAGGGTTGCACCCTTATGACCTAAGCACCTCCCAAAGGCCTCACCAACTAAGAAAGTCATCCTCAGGGTGTTAGACTTTCACCATATGAATTTAGGGGGCACACAGACATTCAGACCAGAGCAACTGGGTTTACGTTGCAAGCAGCTGAATGAGTCCTGCCCAAGATCTTTAAGAGCTGCCTGACAAGAAGCAGGCACTCTATCAACAGTCAGTTCCTAGCATGGGACATGTCCACAGAGGGGCAAGAAGCATCTTAAAGAGAACTTTGGAGGAAGATGTCTTTTGCGCTGTGATCCCTCTAGCTTCCTGATCGTTGAAAAATAGTAATATTCTCCCTTCACAAATTATTCACTGGGGACAAAAAATAATGCATAGTACATGCCACATAAAAAATAAAAAGACAGCAAAAGGTTATAAATAAATTAATACTATACCCAATTACAGTGCAAATGTATTACTCAGCTCATTTTATTAACATCTACCTCTCCTAGACTACAAGTTCCTTGAGGACAGAGTCCGCGTCTTTCTGTGTTTTCTTTTGTTTCTATATCCCAGGACCTGGCAAACACTTTTTTAAAGAACTGAAATTTAAATGGATCTTTGTTTTTAATAGTTTTCAACATTTAAAGGAAACGACTTACTTTAATTCAGGGATTTACCTAAACCGCAGGTGTGCCCTGTCAGCTCGGGCTGTCATAACAAAATACCATAGACTGAATAGCTTAAATAACACATATGTATTTCTCACAGTTCTGGAGACTGGGAAGTCCAAGATCAAGTTGCCAGCAGATTCACTTCCTGGTGAGGGCCCTCTTCTTGGCTTATAGAGGGCTGCCTCCTCATTGTGTGTTCACAGGGCATAGAGGGAACAAGCAAGCTCTGGGGTCTCTTTGTCTTCTTATAAGGTCGCCAGTCCCACCATGGGAACCCTACCCTCATGATCTCATCTAAACCTTAGTCACTGCTCAAGGATCCCACTACCAAATACCACACACTGAGGGTTAGGGTTTCAATATATGAATTTTGTGGGGACACAAACATTCAGTCCATAATATATACTTATTAGGAAGGGAAATTCTCCCCAGATGTCCTCTTGGAGGAAGGCTGTGCACTGGGTAGAGCTCTAATTTCCCAATTCCCTGCAGGTAGAAGAGGGTAGCCTCTTGGGGGGTGTTTGAAGCAGGCCTTTGCAAATCACAGGATGAGATTGGCCCTCCTGGTGGGATGTCCTGCTACTGTGAGATTATATTAGCATTATCGTTCTTCCCTTAGCCCTAGACTCGACAAGACATGGAATCTTCCCTCCAGAAATCAGTCATGGTTAAACAAGCCCCACCAAACCCCAAACACAAAGCGCCACGACTGTCCAAACTGAACGTCCTCTGGCTCAATCCAGTGCAGCAGAAAGTGTTAGAATGTTTAAGCAAGATTTCTTGAGGCTTTGACGGCCATTATTATTGGTGTCTGACCCCCAACTGGCTTTCCTCAAGATCTCTCAGATCACCACGGGGCAAGGGCTTCAGAACTCCCTTCCATAAATTATCGTCAGTCACCATCCAATAGCATCCATTGGATGCCGGGATTACCAAACATATGGAAGCAGTGAGGAATTTTGAGGCTTTGTAATCTTTTTTATGGGCTAGAGGCCTTTACAGGGTGAGGGTGACCAGACAGTACTGTGATCTCCATTCCTGGAGAGAGAGAAAACTTAAAAATCAGTTAAGTATGACATTTGGGCTTACTATTAACAAGCTCAAAAGTTTCCAACACCCTTCCACAAAGCCTCGCAGCCTCCAAATGACTTCAGCTCCTCCGAGACAATCCACTGTGTGTCTGGGGCATCAATTTGATTTACAGAGCATTTCAAAATATTTATATATTTTTTAGGGTTTCCATCACAGCCTCAGCCAGTAACCTGCTGTGTTTGAAAATGTCTGGGCAGTAATTGTCATTGTTTGCAACAGCTATTTTGGACTCCAGTGAGCACTGTGGCATTTTGTAGAATCTAGGAATGCAATTACCAAAGTTGTATACATAATCCAAGTGACCTCTTGGCTTCAGAAGCTCAACCCCTAGGAAAAAAAAGGATAACAACAGCAAAACGTTTGTTTAATTTTTCTTCTGTAGTTGGTCAGTGGTAGGTGGATTATATTATGGCCAATTTGGCAAAAACATGATTAGTGTAACAATTCCTTATAAGTACAAAACAATGTTGAATTAAACATACAAGAGAGAATATGACTGGGATGATGGGCTTCTCTGACCCACTTTCCTACCTAAGTGTTTGTGGAGGAAATTAGATACTGAGGGGATGTCTGGGTCCTGTAATGATTCATCCTTCATGATGCAAGAGATTGTTTTTTTACCAATTAGAAGAGGGCCCTCTTATGTCATTTAAAAACAAGTTGCTAACAGTCAAGAGGTTTGTGTAAAGCAAAAAAAATGTATTCAATAAGAAAGAGACCATTTAGAGTCAGTAAATGAATTTACAAGTTGCCCTGTGTGTCATTAGGGATTTAGGTTTTTTGGATCTTATCAGCTTCTGACAGGCTCAGGTTACTCCCAAATTATTTTCTCTTCTCCTGCCCTGTGTGTGTGTGTGTGTGTGTGTGTGTGTGTGTGTGTGTGTGTGTGTTTGGCTTTCGATACTATCTGGAAACTGTACTTCGAAAGTCCTCTCGCAGTGTGAAGCAGACTTGTTAGACTTAAGTAAAGGACAGATAAACACAATCTCTTGATTTCCCAGTAAATCAGTGGTTTGGGTAATTCCTGCAAGAAATACAGAATTGCCAAGAAACAGTGTTGAAATTTCCAGGTTTCCTCTCAGAAAGAACAATAATTCATGAGATGGAAATACCCGTGATCATTTTGCTAACACCTCTCAGGCTTACACAAGAACTCTCCCCTCCTGTCTGTCTGTAAGCATGTGTGGTGCCTGAGGATCTGAACCTGGGTGAGGCTCAAGCCTGGGCCACAGCTTTTTCTCAGACTTAGTGCTCAGTGGCTGACATCGCTCCCCATGCTGCCCAGGACCCCTTGTTGATGGTGGTCTTTGCTTTCCAGTTTGTTTTTAGCCTGCCAAGAAAAAACAAAAACAAAAACAAAAACACTAGAAAACTAAAATTAAACTGAACTTAAATGTATCCAGTGACTCAAGTCCATAGAAATGGTCACCCAGGTGACCTTGGGCTCTCTCACTGTTTGTGGTCTATTTTTATTTATTCCACTTCTTTACTAACCCCTTCACTTCATCTACTGTTTCCCCACTCTTATAAGGAATTATACTAAGTATAGGCCAACACACCCATGTCCCTCCTGCACACCCCCAAAACAACACGTATGTTCTGAAGCACTATTCTACACCCTAGGCCCGGCTCCCCACATGTCTGTGAGATTAGCAAACACAGCGCGCTAGAAGCACACACAGGCTGTCTCTGAAGAAAAGCATTGCCAGCCAGCCAATCTCAGTGGGGGAAGAGCTGCTTCAAGACAGGCTAATCATTCCCAGTCGAGCTGGGTGCTGCAGGACTGTGTGTAGACAGCTGTCGGCCATGGTTACAGAGAAGGCAGCCGGCCCTAGGAGGCTAGGGAGGGGTCCAGAGCCCAGACTCAGGCGGTACTCAGATAACGGTAATAATAATTATATCTGAAGTGTCCACCACCTAAAGAGGTGACCTCATGCACAGTCTCTTGATAAATCATCCAGAAAGCTCCAGCAGGAAGTTGTCCTCAAGGAGGATCTCTAATTTTTTTTCTTTTCAGATTATGCACATGACCAAGATAAAATATCTTAGTGGCTACTGTTTACATAAATTATATGGCTCTGAAATGCCAATTTTGCATCCGGACAGGCAAATGTTTCAGCCTAGGGAGCTTTTATAATGTAAGCTTTACTAGGTACTTCCTCCCTCTTTCATGTATACTCAGTTACCCCGGTTTGTCTTTTATTACTGTAAGCATGGCTTTTGACTAAAGGAAATGAAAGAATTGACATTTTTGTGCATTCATTCATTCATTTTAAAAGGAGACTGATGCTTTTGTGATGTAAAGATGCTCCCTGGGAAGCAATGACAGCCTCTGCTGGAACAGAGGATCTAACAACAAATACATTATTCTTGTAGAATTTTTCCTTGTGCCAGGAAAGCAAAGTGATCTGGGCTTCGTGGGGGAAAGCTGCTCCAACCATGCGAATTCAAGGCACTGGTAAGGGCTCCAGATTCTCCCCTGTTCATTCCAACTGTAGGGTAAAATGCCTTGCACTGCTAGCTGCAAATTAACCCTTTAATATGTCTTTAACTCTATTAGAATCTGGATACCGGAGGCATAGGGAGGCTACAAATTTCTCATCCATCATTTATGCCTGGGTCTGAATGAAAGATTTAAGAGGCAGATTCTGAAAGAAGGGCATCACACAATGTTAGAGTCCAAAGAGTCTTCAGAGAGTATCCAACCCAAACTCCCAGTCCTACTTTATACTTGTAAGTGGTCCTTGAACAATGCCAAGTCAGTCTGTGGGACAGGTCTGTGGGAGGGTTTCTGTCTGGAATTCTTTCGTAAAGCAATATTGGTCCTAATTCTGTTGCTTGGAGCAAAATATAAGATATTCTCTTTTTTATGTAAAGGTCTCCGAATCCTTGAGGATAATCATCATGTTTCCACTCAGTGTCCTGTTCTCGGTTCTGGTCTGTTTCGTCACCCTCTTTTCTTATGGTATGATTTCTGGATCTCTCAGCTCCTAACTGCCATCTGCTCAATACACTCCGGTAGACTGGTGTTTTAAAAATGTGGTGCCCAGAACTGAACACGATATTCCAGGTGTTCTGTGGGTCATGTTCCATGACCCAAACAATACAATTCTCTTTAAAGAGCCCACTCTGATATTGAGCTCAAGCCCAATTTTCTTCCTCATGAAGTGGTATCAAGTTGTGTCCCTCCTGCTATCCTATGCTTATTTTTAATATTGAATTTATGCTTATCTATATTTAATTTCTCCTTGATGCTTCCAGTCTTGGTTGTATCTTGATTCTGGCATCTTTTGTACTTGCTGTTCTGCTTAATTTTGTGTCATTCTCAAATGTGACAAACAGCTCTCCTATATATGTTTACCAAAGTCGTGGATAACAATTTTGAATAAGAGATGGACAAGTCTGAGGTTTGCACATGCCACTAAGGATCTTGCTCCAGATGGAAACAGATCCACTGAATGGCACTTTTGCATTCTGTTCTGTTGTTTGTTTTTTGTGTT